AGGCGGGGGTGGTGATGGGGTGCCGCCGGGTCTGGAAGCTGGGTTGCGCCCGGGGAGACGGAGGGATCTGGCGCTGGGCGGGGGGAGGGAGGATGGGAGCAGAGGAGAAGGGTGGGTCGTCTCTGGCGGGGATGCGGGTGGGGATGGCTGGCCGCGCTGCTGGATCGGGGAATTCGAGGCGGATTTGATCCCTTCTCTTCTCGGGAGAGCGAGTCAAGTGGAACAAACTCGACACAACCTACGGAGAGAGCGAGAGAGAGAGAGGTTGGGGAATTTCTCCTCCTCTCTCTTTCCTGCTGCCTTCCTTCCTTCCCCTAGCGATAGCGAGCGGTGGCACGTGCGTCGCGGGCAGGGGTACGTGGGGTGGCGGCCACGGGAAGGAAAAGGAAGGCACGCACGCACGCGGTGGGAGCAATCGGTACGCGCACCCGGCAGAGCGAGCACACGGGTCGGTCTGCTCCTCCAGGCTGCCCCCGCGGGCCCGCGGATGACACGCTCTAGTACCTCGCTCCATATCTCCCCGCACGGTGGGCGCCCCTGCAGGCTGCAAAGCCACCCGATCTAGTACCTGCCTGCTGCATGCATGATGAGTGCCGCCGCTCTGCTTTGCGCCATCGCTTTGCTACCCACTTGGGTGCGGCGATGACGATGACGACGACGATGGTCCGTCCGTCCGTCCGTCCGTCCATAGGATGAGGAAAAGGAGGGAGGGAGTGCCATCCTCTGCCTCCCCCTTATCCTATCCGCAAAGCTACTTGCTATGCTACTACTAGTATCCCTCATGCATAACACCACTCGTCCTGCAATAATGCTGCTAGCTCACACTGAGGGATAGCCGCCTTCCGCCGCACGGTCCCATTTCAGAGACGGATTTCTCCTTCTTCTTTGCTATTTATTTATTACCTTTTTTTGGATGGAGAGACCGGTCTCCCTCCGATCCTTTTTAGTCCGCACATAAGTTTTGTCCGAAATCAAAGTATCTCTAGTCAGACCAAACTTATAGAAAAAAAAAAGTATCGACATCCACAACGCCTAATCAATATTTTTAAATTCATTATGGGATGCAGTTTGACGGCGTACATATTTGGTATTTGTGGATGTTTATATAATTTTTTAAAATATAAATTTAGTCAATCTTTGCAAAGTTTGACCTGACAAAAACCTAATACACAGAGTAAAAAGGACCGGGGGAGCACCACCTTTAGTGTGAGGCGGGAGGGAGACATCTTACTCAGGGGAGTAACTAAATTGGGAGTGCATGTTCCGCGCCTTGAGCGCCGCGGAAGGCAACTGGCGCTTGCCGGGCTGGCCCACATACGCAGCGCGCGGCGAATTGTATTTTACCGTGAAAAACCGGCAAAATAGTGGCTCCGTCGAGGAATCGAACACTCACTCCATAGCACTCGTTAGAAAAAACCTAGAGCTATTGGATTCTAGTACCTCGTTGCAGCGTGAATAATTTAAGAACAAATGTAGCCACGCTATTGATTGCACAATAGTATCACTATGATTTTTGAAAAATTTGATAACATTTTGCAAAAAAGAAGGTGATTTGAACAAAAGTTAACGGATTAGACAAAAAAGTTTGCGAGATCGAAGAAAGTTCATGAATTCGACAAAAAGTTCAGAAATTTGAAAGTAGTTCATGAAATTGATAAAAGTTCTACAATATGAAAAAAGGTTCATGGATTTGAAAACAATTCATGAATCTGACAAAAGAGTTTACGAGTAAGGAAAAAGTAAAAAAAATTGAAAAAAATCATTGGTTTGAAGAAAAGTTAACGAATTTAACAAAAAAGTTTGCGAGATTGAAGAAAGTTCATGAATTCGACAAAAAAGTTCACAAATTTGAAAGTAGTTCGTGAAATTGAAAAAAGTTCTAAAATATATAAAAAAAGGTTCATGGATTTGAAAAAGGTTCACGAATTAATAAAATGTTCATGGATATGAAAAAATCTTTATAAATCTGAAAAAAATCATGATTTTAAAAGAATTGTGAATTTAAGCAAATGTAAAAAGAAATGATCAAAATAAAATAAAAAGGAATAAAACCGAGGAAAACCAGACAGAGAAGACGCATAACAAGAAGAAGAAGAAAAAGTAACTAGGCACATCAAGTTTGCTTTCCTAGTAGGTTAGATCGGGTGGAAGTACACCAAGTGGTGGAGAGTTTGAATCCCATTTCACATGCTTATTTTTGAAGGTTAAAATAAAGAAAAAAAATCTAATGGGCCGAGCCCAGGACCGAGGGGGGGGGGGGCGTCGCTGATTTGTGAAATACACTATAATCGGTGTTGAGGGCGTCAAATAGGAGTCGTGCAACTAATTAGCAGGTACATCTTGAAGGGCTCCCCCAAATGTCACTCTTTTTGCTTGAGATCGCGCCAAGAGGTGCGCCGTACCATCACCATGTGTTGCATGCTAGCGATCCCATTTGTACGTTCTTTTGGTTTTACATGATTTTTTTGGTTTCTTTGTGCTTTAGTTTTTGCCTAGTTTCCGTTGGTTTTGGAGGGATAAAATCGACGCGAGAAATCCAAGGGTAAAAACGATTCATGGTTTCGATGTATGTCTAAAGAGATAAACCATTTTGAAAAAAAAATGAAAACTTCCTGGTTGAGACAAGTGGCACACTACATGTGCGCCGCCTGTCAGCATGACAGAAGGTGAAGTGACCTTTGGAAGGGGTACCCTTAATTAGTGATTTCGCTTATTCTCTATGCTTCAAGTATCTAATGGGTTCCTGGTGCTCGCTAAGTTCGTGGGTTGTGACCCAATAGTGCTAGCTGCATCTCCCACATCTCGCTCGCGAGGGTTACTGTTTTTTTTTTGCATTCACTATTTTCCTACTCTAATGACATGGTCACCAGTTTTTATATGGGTTAAAATAGTTGGTGCATCCAAGAAAATCATGAATTCGAAAAACCTGCAGTTTTAAAAAAGCTCGTGAATTTGAAAAAAAAGT